TTCAATTGAAATCAAGCCACTTAAGTTACACTATTAGCCTCAACTGGGTTCCCTTTTTCCTTCCTTTTCTCTCCTGTTCTTTTTCTTGTTTCGGTGTTTGCTTTTTGTTTGTTCTTGTTTTTCATCTAGAAACAAAATGGGAAAGAATGGATCATGTATTTCAGTCAGAGACTCCTAGGGTAAAGTAGAGCTACATCAGATCCAGGCCTCAGCTCTGGAGGTCCACATAACTCAGGCAGAATTTCAAGGTGTGAACCCTGGGCCCTGGCTTTTGTCACTTGGGGAAACTTGAATGATCTTAAGCGAACTGCAGGATATGGGTTGAGGGCCTTTTAGGAAATAAACCAGATGTCCCAGAGTGCTCAGCCGGTCCTCGTAGCTTGTCTCCAGCCACAGCTCCTGTCTGGAAGACATCTGGGAAAGGGGCTGTTGAGGGTCACGTGGAGCACTAGGGGAGGACTAGCAGTCACAGATGGCTCTGTGTGAGAGTCACCTCCCTGCCTGGCACTCCTGTTTTGTCTCTGGTGATTACCCATTGAGAGATGCTGAGGTTGCTCCCTAGATAGAAGGGCCTTTATGTCAACAACTAATCCTTGAAAGCAGTTTTACGACCTTTGTTGTTTTCAAAGTCTATATAGCTTTCAAGTAGAAATAAGATAGGCTAGTTAACCAGTCATTAATATTAATGAAAATTGGTAATTATAAATATGTCTGGCATCATGTCCCATTGTCAAATAAATCCTCTAAATTAATCAGATTTTATTATTACAAATCATTTGATCTTGAATAACCAATTCAGAACCCTTAACGCCATTAAAGTTAAAACTAACATAACCTACCCCCTTACAGAATGCTTTGTTAATGGGACCCTGGACGCCCTAATGACCTCATTTGTATACCTTTGTTTAGCTGCTGTTTGCTTGGTCATTGGTAGAGCCAGCAGTCGGAGGCTTTACCAAATCCTTTCATTCTGGCTTCATTCAGTTTTGCCCCTTCCTCTAAGAAAAGTTGCCACGCCTAGTTTTGGAAGCAGGAACTAATTACGTTGATCCACTCCGTCGGCTGTTTTTAAAACATTGAACCTTTATTGTTCCTTTTATCCAGCTCCAACCTGTTCATAAAATAACATTCATAAAAATACAGACTTTATGTTTTCACCTTTATGCTTTTACTGTGCCTCCCAGTGCTGGGCTTGAAAACATCAGCATAAGCTAATCTTTTTATCTTTGATTGGAGTATAGCCAAAGAAAGGGACACTTTTTCCTAACCTAAATTAAAAGATGGACCCAGAGAGCAGGCATGAATGAGTGGGACCTGGGGAAATGGCTGTAGCAGGATTAATTGTAGCATGTAAAGTCCATTCCTTTGCAAATCCTTTTTAATGTCAAAGTAATTCTCCTTTGTGATATATTTAATTTTTTTTAAATTCAGATTCTTTGCATTTGTGGTCAGGAAGGAAGGAAAAGAGCAGGCGGGGCTGGCTAATTTAAAAATAAGATAAATAGCTCTGTGGGTTGTGTGGCGTGGGAAGCTCTCTGAAGGGATATGCTGTTAGCTTCTTTTTTAATTATGAAAAATTTCAAACATATCAGGATAGAATTAGCTAGGTATGATAGGTAGCCCACACCCATAATCCCAGTACTCTGGAGGCCAAGACAAGAGCATTAGAAGTTCAATGCCAGCTTGGATGTGGGTTCAAGTGAATTTGAACACAGTGAATCTTTTCTGAAATATTTCCGTGTAATTCCTGGCCATTCCTGTTCTGGTTCTCTCAGTGTATGTCTCCAGGTGCTGTGAGCGTTTGCTTTCTGTCTGTGTGTCATCTGTGGTTCATGCTGGCCTGGAACTCTGTGCAGCCCAGGCTGCTCTGGAGCGAAGGGATTCCTCTTCAGTCTCCTGAGTGCTGGGCTACACACGTCTGGTCACTACACTGGGCTATGAGAGTGTGTCTGTCTGTGTGTGAATATGTGCACATGAGTGTGGTGTCCTAGGAAGCCAGAGACATCAGATCCTTTGAGCTGGAGTTACAGGTGGTTGTGAGCCACCCCGTGTGGGTGCTGGGAACCGAACTCAGTCCTAGAAGAGCAGCGTACACTCTTAACCTCTGAACCATCTCTCTAGCTTAGATGAGTTTTTAAATGTGGGCTGCAAAACAAAAGGGTCCTAGACCTTGCTTTGTTTATTGACCTCCCCTGCCACCCTCCCAAAGACAGGGCCTCCATATTGATCTCTGTAGGGTCCTAGTTGTCCTGGAATTCACAGAGATCTGCCTACCTCTTTTGGCAAAGGTTTCTGTCCCACCAGGTCCCACAGCCATATAAACACACAGAGGTCTATATTAATTATAAACTGATTGGCCTAATAGCTCAGGCTTCTTATTAACTCTTATAACTTATAGCTCATAATTCTTGTCTATGTTAGCCACGTGGCTTGGTACCTTCTTCGGTGAGGCAGTCACATCTTGTTTCCTCTGCAGCTGGGTTGTGACTGACTGCAGACTGAGACTTCATTCTTCCCAGAATTCTCGTTGTCCCACCTTCACTTCCTCCCTGGCTGTTGGCCAATCAGCGTTTTATTAAAAATAATACAAGTGACAGGATAAAAGACCATTATCCCACAGCATACCTCTGCCTCCTGAGAGCTGGGATTAAAGGTGAGAGCCACTATGCCCAGTTTAGGCCTAGCTTTGGGAAATACATGTCCCAGAGGCGAGATTAGTTTCAGAGTGAATGTCATGATGCTTTATGATTTCTTTGTCTTGTCACTGACCAAATAATACACCAATCACACACTGATGCTAATATTCCCTGGAGGGCAGGGTGAGCTTTATTTAGTCAAGTAGGAGCAACATTCCTTACTGTTGGTGGTTATAATTATAAAGTTTAGCCATCTTTATCAGTGTTTTACAATACTTTCATTTTTCCTAGTAGTCTTCCTTGTTGCACATTGGATTTCTTTAGTAATTGTAGATACGGCCATGTGCTCACTGACTTCTCGCCTAACTCTTTATTGTCTTTGAGATAGCCTTGCTTTTAGAGATTCTACTGTCTTCCTTCTTTGAGTGGTACCCAGTCTAGCCAGGGTTAATCCTCCTGTTTTAGCTTCCTGAATTCTCAGATTATAGTGTGCCACCACTCCTAGGTTGCATCTTGCCAATTCTATTTCTTAGATTTTATTTTCATTTTATGCGTGTGGGTGTTTTGCCTCTGTGTATATTTGTGCAGTGCCTGTGTTAGGAGTCAGGCATTATGCAGACCCCTGTCACTGGCAGAATGCACTCAGGCAGTGTAGCCTAGCCAGCCCAGGGTCCTCTGTATGCAGGTGCAAAAAGTCCCTTAGAGAGAAGCCCTGCCCATTGCAGCTCTCTTCCTGTTGTTCTTCTGAAGAGGCAAGCAGGTCTCAAGCTTTCTCTCTCTGTCTCTCTCTCTGTCTCTCTCTGTCTCTCTCTCTCTCTCTCTCTCTCTCTCTTTGTCTCTCTTCTCTCCCCTTTACCCTTCTCAATAAACTCTGCCCTCACGCTCTGCCTGCATGGCATATGAAGCCTCTGGCTCTCACCTACCATGTCCCTTTCCCTCTGAAATCATTACAGCCTGTGGAGGGGCATTGGATCCCCTTGGACTTGAGTCACAGTTAATTCTTGGCTACCATGTAGGTACTAGAATTTGAACCCAGGTTCTCTAGAAAAGTAGCCAGCCAGTACGCCTAACTGCTGAGCCTCTTTCTTTTTTTTTTTTTGGAGACAGAGTCTGTCTCCTTTTGTAGACAAGGTCTGTACCCTTGGCTGGCTTTCAGCTAGCTATGTAGACTAGGCTGGCCTCAGACTCACCAAGATCTGCTGAGACTAAAGGGTATGCTACCATTCCTGGCTTTACTTAATCTTTTGATGGCTTAAAATCGATTTGGACAAGTTCTTTCTTGTATTTTTTACATGTTGACTATTTTATCTACTTTGTGCTATTTTCTTTTTTTTTTAAGTTTTATTTATTATGTATAGTGTTCTGACCGCACGCATGCTTGCAGACCAGAAGAGGGCATCAGATCTCATTTCAGATAGTTGTGAACCACCATATGGTTGCTGGGACCCTTGGAACTCAGGACCTCTGGAAGAGCAGCCAGTGCTCTTAACCTCTGAGCCATCTCTCCAACCTCTATTTTCTACTATTTTCTACCTTGCTCATACCATCTTTTACATATTGGGAGACTAGATACTCTCCTGGTCCTCTTTCTCTGCCTTAGTCTGACTCGTGTACAGATGGTAAAGGGATCGGGATTTCTTCTTAAAGCTCAGGACTGCAGGAGCTTGCTCTTTGTTTTATGCCCCCCCCCCCCTTCCCCAGCAAAGCAAAACAAAGAAAATTGGGAAAGAATTCAGGCCTGGAGTAGTTTTGCTCCTCTGTCCTGGTCAGAGTTGGGTAGTGTTAGGGTTGAAGTCGCAGACTGACTTAAGTCTTTGCCCCTCATTTTACCACCATCTTTAAGCTGCCTAACTGAATTTGGAATGAGAATGAAGGACTCTGGTTTTTTGTTTTTTATATCTTTTACAAATTTACTTACTTCTTTTAAACCATGTGTTTGTGTACCTGTGCGTGCCTGTGCACGTGCGTGCTGGTACTGGCGGAGGCTAGAAGAGAGGGTATCAGATCTTCTGGATCTGGAGTTACAGGTGGTTGTGAGTTGCCCTGTGTGGATGCTGGGAGCTAAACATGGGTCCTCTGTAAGAGCAAACATATTCTTAATCGTGAGCTTTCTTTCCAGGCCCAAGGATGAAAAATTTATCTTTTGGTTGATAAATCAGTGACTCTTACTGCTCTTACCATATACATGATGTGCTGTGTGTGGAGTTGGTGCTTATTAGAGCACTGTGCACTCTTACACTGAGTGAGCAAACACTGGGGCTTGCTCATTCTTCCAGACGCTTAAGAGTTAGAACCGCCTGAGAACTTGCTCTGCCTTTATAAAGTGGAAAGTGATCTCATCTTGACCACTGTTTTGCCTAACAGGAAGCCTGCAGATCTGCAGAACTTGGCTCCCGGGACCCACCCACCATTTATAACCTTCAACAGCGAGGTCAAGACGGATGTAAATAAGATTGAGGAATTTCTTGAAGAAGTCTTGTGCCCCCCCAAGTGAGTATGAGAATTGTGGATACAGCGCCACTGCTGAATACAGCTTTGTTCCCAGGCACTCTTTCCCAAAGACTTTAGATTCCTACAGCGTTGAGTTTGGAACAACCAGGACTCTCTGGCATCGTAGTGGAAATTTAAACTGCAGACAGAAGGTTTTGTATCCTGCTTCTATTTTCAAAGCGTTACTAGTTTTCTTTTTGGCTTTACCAGCTTAATTAACCTGAAAATACGTTTCTTTTCTTTTTAAAAGATGTATTTATTTGTGTATTTTATGTATTTGAGTGTTTTGTCTACATGTATGTCTACATATCAGAAGATGACATTGGATTCCATTATAGACATTGTGGGACACCATGTGAGTGCTGGGTATTGAACTGAGGATCTCTGGAAGAGCAGCCAGTGCTCTTAACCACTGAGCCATCTCTTCAGCCCAGAAAATGTGTTTCTTTTTTCCTGATCCAACCTTTCTTGCCAGTTGCTTTTGCCTTTACTCTTCATGTCCAGATAATTTTCCCACTGATGGGGATTACTGGGTCAGATGGTTCCAAAATTAGTTGCTCAGCATCCGCCCATCTCCCCACCAACTCATCTCCATCCATCCATCCATCCATCCATCCATCCATCCATCCATCCATCCATCCATCCACCCATCCATCCACCCATCCATCCATCCACTCATCAGTCCATCCACTCATCAGTTCTTCAATCCATCCATCTTCTGTGCAGCTATTAAGACAGCAGAACAGCGTGGATCAGCAGGAATGGAAGCTTAGCTCCTGTTCTTAAAAAAGCACAGCAGTAGCCAAGCAGAGTGGTGCACACCTTCAGTTCCAGTGCTTGAAAGGCAGAGGCAGGCAGATCTCTCTGAGTTTAATACCCACCTGGTCTACAGTGTGTTCCAGGCCAGCCAGGGCCACAGAAGGAGATGCTGTCTCAAAAAACCAACCACATAAGAAGCACAGTGAAATACAGGTGGTGATACAGGAATGGGTGGAGGAAAGGTTTGTATGGAGAAGAGATGACTCTTAACTAAGCTTTACTTACTTTTAAGCTAGTATGCAGCAGGTGAACAGAGGAGTGACCGGCATTTTGGGGCAGAAGGTGTTTCCTTTGAAGACCGTAGAAAGGAAAGATGTGGGAAGCCATCCTTCTGTCTGTGATTAGCCCATTGTGTGTTGTGAGAACTGCCCCTGGGTTGCCAATTTTGTGTTAAACCTAAAACTACATTCTCTTGGTCCTGCTCTAAAAGTCGGCTAGCTCTTCTCTGTCCTTGCTTCTTTTATCTCTCCCTCCAGTAGTCCCGGTGGCCTTCCATTTCCTGAACAGTTTCTGCAAACACTGAAATGGATCCTAACCCCTCTCTCAGCCCATGCATCTAGTTTGGATGTCCATAAACCACAGCCAAGTTCTCCCACAGCAGATAGGGGGCTCTGGACACTCAGCTAGGAACAGACGTCTGACCTCCTGGAAACGTCTCTGGATTGCTGCACCATAGAAGCCTCTAGATCTCTGTTCTTAAGTCTGTCAGCTCTGAGGAAGGTCCCGAATTGACAGATTGGTCTCAGACCGCTGATTGAAAGTTCTCATGGAGCCAGGGTCACTGTGGTGACCTTAGATTCTAAGTGGAGAGGCAGTTGGAAAATATATTCAGTCTCAATGAAGGAAATTGTATTTTGTTGTAAACCATTTCTGAGTTTCTCATTCTGTACATTTTTTCAAGAATATTTTAAGTTTTTTTTTTAAAAAAGATTTATTTACTTATTATATATAGTGTTCTGTCTGCATATGTACCTGCACACCAGAAGAGGGCACCATATCTCATTACAGATGGTTGGGAGCCACCATGTGGTTGCTGGGAATTGAACTCAGGACCTGGAAGAGCAGCAGAGCCATCTCTGCAGCACCAGCTTGTTCTTTCATCTCCGTTTTATTTGCACAGATTGCAAAGCTGCTGTAACTGGAGATGGAGTTTTCTTCGATCCAAACACAAAAGTCTTTCTGTTTTAGTGTTTGTAGTGTGCTAAGTTCTTTCTAGAGCGTTTTTTTTTATTTATTTATAGACAGCCTGAAGAGTTTCTGAGTAAAGTTTTATATAGATAGGCTTTTTATTCTTGTTGTTCTTCATCCTTCTTCCTCCTTACTCCTCCTTTAAAAAGAAAACCAAGGTCTGATGTAGCCTAGGCTGGTCTCAAACTCATTTGTGGAGCTGCAGCTCACTCCAGGCCTAAGGAGGGTTCTTCCTGCTCTGTTTGTGCGCTGCCCTGGTGTGTGTGTGTGGGGGGGGGGGCGGCAGCAGAACTGCCCTAGCAGGTAGACCAGCCTGTCCGAAGGCAGCAGTTGGAACTGTGAGCACTAAGATGCCACCCCTGCAGGACAGGTGCAAGCTCCCTGGCATTTCCTGAGATGTGGCCAGTAGCGCAAAGCTGAACACGGAGAACCTTTCTGTGAGACTCCACAGGCTCTAACGGCTTTCTCCTGTCCCCTGGGGAAAGAATTGTTATTAGTTATTTAGTCATAGTTATGATTTAGATTTTAGTCCTATTTTTGTTTTAATAAAGGAACTACTTATCCAAAAAGCTTTGAAATTTGAGGTTTTAAAAGTTATATTTAATGTGTATGTGTGTGTTCCTGAGCGTTATATGTACACCTGTGTGTGCAGGAGCCCGGGGAGGTCTTCAGAAGGGGCTGGGTCCCCTGGAACTGAGTTACAGGTGCTGTGAGCCTCTGCATGGGTGCTAGGAACTGAATCCGTGTCCTCTTCTGCACTGATCCGTCTCTGGTTTCCTGAACTGTGCTTTGCTGCTAGAGATGGAAAGTTTCTTTCAAATCTTGTTAGGGCAGAAGATGACAGGTGTCAGTGTGTAACTCAGAGGCAGGCTGTATATAAGATAGGCCACTTTATTTTGTTTTTGTGACTTCAAATTCATGATCCTTCTGCCTCAGCTTCACCAGAGCGGGGATCACAGGTGTGCACGGGAGTAGTTTTGCACACTGGGCTAGAGGAAGACATGGGTACTCTGAAAAGGCACTGTGCTCTCCGCACTGGCTCTGCTGGCATGCTCGGTGTGGTCTTCACTGTGAGAGCTGTTGATAGCTCTGGCACCGCAAGCTGGTTGTCTTCGGAGCCAGGAAATCCAGGCCTGTTGGCCTTGAGAGAGTTCTGTAGTGGGGAAGAACATTGGTGCACACGTGTGATTCAGATAAACTCATTAGATTTGTTCACTAAAACACTTGGTGTAATGTTTTTGGGAGAAGTTTCTAGGGTTAAAAATTGAGAAATTTGGAGACTGGGTAGACTTATTAAAAAGAAAACCAGCTTGAGTTTTTAGAGGATAGACCTTTACTGAATCCACAAAAGCAAGCAGAAGAAAGGTAAATAAACCATGCTGATTTCAGCACTAAGGCCAGCCTGGAATGTATGTATGTATGTATGTATGTATGTATGTATGTATGTATGTATGTATGTAAATGTGCATGTATGTGAGAGAGACATGAAATAGAAGAAAACATTGCCCTGTAATACAGTTTCTTTCAAATCTTGTTTCCACCATTTTAATTTAAGGGGACTAAGACCAGACAGCATCCTCTAGAGTAAGTTAAAATAAGTAGTTTAGCTGTGGGATTTTCCCCAATTCTCTAGGGCCTTCCAGCTGATGAATATTCTTGAAGCAGGACTCAGGGCCTCTCTGAGGGGAAGCAAGCCCTGCTGAAGGAAGGAGGAGTTGCCCAGCCCCCCCCCTCATTCTAAGGAAGAAACACACTGAATGTGTACGTTTAAAATGCAAACATGTAAAGTGTGTGTGTGTGTGTGCGCGCGCCTGTTTAAAACTGGTGTCCTGACTTTCTTAAAGATGAAACTTGGTCACAGCACAAAAGCGGGTTTGGTACAATGCCTGGCATCCTGTTTATTTACTGTGCAGTAGCACAGTCCTAAATATACCACAGCACATTTAGCACAGGGAGTGGAGAGAGAAACTGGGGGCTGTTTGGAAGTGAATGGTCCTCTTACTGTTTTGTCCTCAGCTGGCTGTGGATGATCAAGATGCTTGACCGGCCTGGGCTCCTCCTGCTGTCTGTTGTCTGGTTCCCTCACGCTGCTGCACAGGGCCAGGCCAGTGCCTGGCATACTAAACACCCAGCTGTGGGAGCTGTGTCTCCCGACTACTGAGAGTTGGAGTGTGACTTGCTTTATTTCTTTGTGGCTCTTTTAAAACTGTGTTCTGATAGCGTCTTGGCACTAATGGGTGCCATGTTGGATGTGAGGATGGAGTTGAGTACATTCCCTTTGTTTACCATGGAAAGCTCCCTTGGATGGCCTGCGTGAGAAGTCTAATTCTAGGGCATGTGTGTTCTCCTGGCCCAGGCCCCTTAACAAGCCATTTCCTTAGCATTCTTATCATTAAATGGAGGTGGGGAGTGGGTGCCCTTTGGTTGCCAAGAATATTAATATGTGAACAAAAACACCGTGCACAGCTTTGTTTCCTAACATTCAAAATCAACCATAGGAAACAGTAACTGTTGAAAGATGGCTGGTGTCACCTGCACAGTAGCTTGGTGACGGATCAAACTTTGGGTAATTCTTCTGGAAGGATCTGTAACCCAGTGTCACCTTTTCTGTGTAGGTACTTAAAGCTGTCACCAAAACACCCGGAGTCAAACACTGCTGGAATGGACATCTTTGCCAAATTCTCTGCTTACATCAAGAACTCGAGGCCAGAGGCTAACGAAGGTAAAAAGTTTTAAACTGGGTGTCACAGGAGGAAGCTGAGTGAAGCCAAACCCCAAAGACACTGTGAGCTGTTGGGAAGCCAGTGAGCGTGAGGAGCATGCGGAGGAGTTGCTGTCCTTCTAGGACCTGCTCCAGTGTCTGGAGTCCGGTAGTTGCCATGGGTGGCCCTCCAGGGAACTGAGGGCACAGGCAGGGCAGTGGGCCGAGTGGCTGCAGTAACGAAATAGATTTAGCTTTGATTGACTGCTTACTAAATCCCTTGTTTATTGTGGGTACTGGCAGCCTGTGGTCCTGTGCTTTGTTGTGTATATGTGTGCTAATTAATTACTCTTCCTAAGCAGTTTTGGGAGTGGCCTTTAGAAGGTGGTTAGACTCATCAGCCCTCAGATCTCTTTGCATCATAAAACTAGAGGTTTTGTTTCAGGGCATTATTATGGTGAGGGATAGTTTAGTAGTATAGATACAATTTGTTTTAATTAAAAGATACGGAGTATGAAACCAGCCTGAGCTACATGAAACTGTCAAAAAAACCAAATCAAAAACCCAAACCCAAAAAATTTAGGGCCATAACAGAAAACAGACAAAAATCTGCCCTCTAAAAATATGTTGAGTCTGTTCTAGTTGTAGGCAGCGTGGTAGCTTGGGCTGGGGTCAAGGCTCCTGGCACCCTATGGGATGGAGTGGCAAGGAGTGGGGCCTGGGGATGGTGAACAGGGCTGTTAATAGCAGCCAACACCTAAGAGTGAAGCACTTCCTGAGTTCCCTGTTGTTTCCGCTCCCAGCGGTTCCGGCTCCTTTCTATCTGGTTTAAGATGGCAGCATTTCATAATTCAGTGTGGGATTTGCATGTCTTTACTCTTGGTGTCTGGAGTGTAGTGGCTGAAAATCTTCTCCCTAAGCAGAAGGTTAAGCTGGAGCCCCTTCTTCCCAGAGTGTCCTTTGCTCCCTGCTTGTGCAGGCTGCTGTGTCCCTAGAGCTGGCTTTTATCCCAGGCCTGCTAGCTGACCAGCCCCCTGTGCTTTCCACAGTTGTGATGTTTTTATTCTGTGTGCAGTTTTTGAGGGCTGGAGAATTGGTTGGGTTTCTTTACTGCATATTGGGGAGGACAGGAGAATAAAATGAGTTTTCCTTTGCCTTGGGTGGTGAGGGTGGGGAAAGAAAGTGACTCACTTAAGTATAAGTTTGTATTCTATTTTTTATCTGTCAACTTGTTAGTGCCCTAAGTGGCCACCTACGCTGTTGTCTTTAGAGCGCTGCAACCAGTAAGCAAAGGACTCAGCAAGCTCTTAATGTCGGAGCTTTGTGTATAGTCAATGCCTATTGGTAAATGAGGATTTGAGTTGCCAGCTACATTTCTCCACAGGGATCTGTCATTGCCTGAGGCTTTAGAAAACACTTCCAAATCAAATTTGAGTTGAATGCTTGTGTGTGTGTGTGTGTGTGTTGCTCTTCTCTGTCTGTCGAGAGCAGTTGCATGCTTTAATAAGCCTAGGGAGTGGGGCGTCCGTCTCCCAACTCTCACGGGGCAGCAGTTCACAGACGTGTGCTGTCGCTTTTCATTGATGAGTCCCTGCCTTATCAGCCTAGTAAATACTTGTAAAATCCAATGTGTATGAAGAGTTTAAAGACCCCTAGGACCTAATTAGATGTCTAGGTGCTATGGCATTAGTCTAGTGAAAGTGGGCAGGGGCCAGCGCTTAGACTGCTGTATTTATTAAACAGCAGAAATGCTTATGTCACACCTAACACTTCTGCCTTGAATCTGTGCATACAGATCATGTAAGTAATAGAGCAAGATTTGTTCATTGGAAAAGCCAAGGTGGTACAGGGATTTTTTTATAATATGGCATTTATTCTCTGAGACTATCCTGCGCACACACATTGTATTTTGATCCGTCCACTCTTCTCCCACTAGCGCCACCCAGATTCAGCACCATCTCCCACTCTTTCAACTTCATTTAAGAAACTTTTTGTTTTTTAAATAACCCACTGATACAAAATCTGTACTATTCATATATTTCTGGGTGTGGGGCCATCCACTGGAGCCTGGGTGACCTACCAGGAGCCACAGCTTTAAAGAAAACTGACCCTCCCTCCCCTAGAAGCCATCAACGGTCAGTAGTTCCTCAGCTAGGGATGGGGCTCAGGCGCCCCCATTCCCGTGGTAGAATGCTGACTGTTTTGTCCTGTGCAGCGACCACAGCTGCTGCGATTTCATGAGTGCAGGGGTCCCGTCCTATCCAGAAGACCCTTCCTCCAATCCCCTCTGACTCACAGCTGGATAGTAAATTCAATCTGATTTCAGTATGTAATTCAGTGACAGATCCTAGGTGACTGGGAAGTCATTTTATATAAAACTGTGTTGTGCGTGCTCACATCACTATATATTAGAAAGCTTCCTGTCACTGGAGGCTGAGGCAGGAGACCACAAATTGCACTGCCTCCACCCCAGTCCTTCCAGTCCAAATAAGTCTGCCTCGGGCTTTAGAAATGCACAGTAGGATTGTATGCAGTTTCCCAGTTGTTGGGCCTTGTAGATGGCCTCCAGGGGTTTTGGCTAGGACTGTGCTGCCAGTGACTGTCCTTGAGCTGGATTCTTGAGCCTTCCCTCCTCCTCTGAGGTGGCACCTTACTCTGTGGCCCAGCTCTCCTGGATGCAGGTGACAGACTTGTGCCACCATGTCCAGCAATTCTATGCATTTTAATTTGCCACAGTTTCAAAACCTGTACCAGTTCGTATTTTCACTGACTTCAAAATGTTCATGTCCATGGACTTCTGACTCATACGTGTCTGCATTTTTAAATTTTGCTGTATTTCCATAGCAAAAATGGTTTTTATTTTTATAATTAATATGAAGCGGTGTATTCTGCATTTACTGCATTGCACTTTCTTTTTTGGAATAGCTTCTTAGAGATAGGAAAGTCACAGACCGAGTGCGCCTGCTGGGTGACACGCTACTGCCTCCCAGTGGTTAGTCTTGGTGTTTTCTTATCCTCATGACAAATGCCTTTGCCTGTGCTAAGTTTTAGAACTTTGTTAGGTTCATTGGCTAACACTGTTTTTTGGAACCTCCTAGTGCCTGTTTGTATCTTTTTTCCATGGCCATCCTTTATGATTAACAATAAATTATTACTAATAATGATTAACATGAATTACTAATTTTCCTCTCTCCATTTTCACTGTTTTTGTTTTGTTTTTTTGAGGCAGGGTTTCTCTGTGTAGTTCTAGCTGTCCTGGAACTGGCTCTGTAGACCAGGCTGGCCTCGAACTCACAGAGATCTGCCTTCCTCTCTGTTTTCCCGGGTGCTTGCAAGTGACTTAGTCCAATTCTTTGAGGCATGATAGTCCACTTGGCTCCCAAGGAGACTGCCAGTTCAGTACTGTAACTGTGTGCCTTGGCCTCTTGTGTGACAAGGCAGGGTGAGGTCCCAGGTTTCCTGTTTACGTTGTTTGCTCAGGCATTGGTGCCTCTTGACACATTTCTTCATGGTGAATCCCACAGTTTCCAGTGAGCAGGATCACGTTCAACATTTCAGCAGGAATTTCTCCTAGCTGTGAGTCAGTAGACTTGCTTTCCCTGCCTGCCTTTGCAGTTTTAGTATCAACAGGGCTGGGCTGTAGCATGTTTGTATGTGGCGGGAGGAGGCGGGGGACACGACAGTTTGTTGGTTGCCGGAACGATCGTGTAGCCAGGCTCCAGGGGCAGGAGCCTCTGTCCTGCTCTCAAGCTGAGGGTCTGCATCAACACCAGCCCCTGCCCAGGGCTGGGCTTCCTCTTTGACAGTGTTCACATGTCTTTCAGCACTGGAGAGGGGGCTCCTGAAGACACTGCAGAAACTGGACGAGTACCTGAACTCTCCCCTTCCTGATGAGATTGACGAGAACAGCATGGAGGACATCAAGTTCAGCACCAGGAGATTCCTGGATGGTGACGAGATGACACTAGCCGACTGCAACCTGCTGCCCAAGCTACACATTGTCAAGGTAGGCCTGCTGGAAGTGGGGAGCTGCCTGGAGCAGCGCCCCCTCACAGAAGCCATCCCCCACCTGGCCAGAGAACACACAGTCAACACAGCCTAGAGCCAGTTAGGTAGGAAATGGAGGAGGATCAGAGCGCCCCCTCAAGGCCAGACTAGACTTGATGAGACCCTGTCTCAGGGAGAAGAAAGAATTTTTTTTTCTTGTGATTGAATAAAAAGTCAAAGATCTAATAGGTAACTCTGCACTGAACTGACACCGTCAAATCCTGTCATCATCACCCACCTGGCCCTTTTCATTCCAAACCTGAAATGTCAAGCACCCTGAGTTATTAAATAAGCATTATATGTGCAGTAAAGATCTAAGATAAGAAAAACAGTTTTAGAAGCTGGCATGCAACCCCAGCATTTGGGAGATGGAGGCAGGAAAATCAAGAGTTCAAGGCCAGCGTAACTAACATGAGATTATACCCAAAAAAACAGCCCAAACTAAAAAAGGAAGAAAAGAAAACAAATTTAAAATAGTATATGTTTAAAAACTAATTACCCAGTGATTATACTCAGCCATCCCCCATGTGCAGGGCAAGCTACTGAAGCCGCTGCGCGTTGCCAAGTGCACGGAGTAGCACGCGGTCCTAGTCCACGTGAGCTTAGCTGCTCTCCGTGTGTGCGTGTTCACCTGGGTAACCTTGGAGGCCAGAAGAGGGTACCTTTCCCCTCTTGTTGGAGTTACAGGAGTCGTGAGCTTCCCCTTCATGGGAGCTGGGAACAGATCTGCAGTCCTGGAAGAGCTCCTGCCCCCAGAACGTGTGGACAGAGGTTCACAGAATTACTAGTCTAGTGTGGCCACTTGGAAGGTGGGTGTAACTCTTGATCTCTTGTATTTCAGGTGGTGGCCAAAAAATACCGCAACTTCGATATTCCCAAAGAAATGACGGGCATCTGGAGGTACCTGACAAATGCCTACAGCAGGGATGAGTTCACCAACACCTGTCCCAGCGACAAGGAGGTGGAAATCGCTTACAGTGATGTCGCCAAGAGACTTGCCAAGTAGACAGCACTTTTGAGAGAGATGCCTTCAGATTCCCCCAAAATACGCTTTCCTAACAGACTGCTCTGCCTCCTCTAAAGTAGAAGTGTATTTTGCATGAACATGCAGTTACTCAAGACTAGGATTAAAGCTAGACAAAGTGTAGTAGCTATCTCCAGTACACACTCCTAAGCAGTATTATTCTAAAGTTCTCTGCCCAGCCCTGCCCACCTGCCCTGCCCGTCGGAGGTACTCCGCCACAAGCTCGTCACATGAGAGGCAGTTTGCCATCAGTCTGGAGCACCGACCTTCATGTCCATTCACTGCGTGTAGATGACAGAATTTGAGGTGCAATGTTCAACCATTAGAATAGTAGCCATGACATCAGTGGCCCTTCTCGCTGGTGTACAATGCATGGTACAAAGAATATTTATGTATGGGGGAGAGTTGTAATATTGAATAGCGAATATGGAAGGATTGCTACTGTGTTGGACATCCTGTCTCAGTGTAGACTGTGCTGGAGTGTGCTGAAGGGCCTTGCTGTCTGGGAAGACCACCTTCCATAGAGAGATTGCTGGTTTCTTGGTAGATACTTAATTTTACCTAAAATGTGTCATTTATATAAATTGTACCATCTGATACTATGTAGAGACTGAGAGACTGAGCGCTGGGAAGGCTTTCTCAGTGATAAGATGGGTGGTTCTCTCTTCTGTTATCTGCCCTGTGGGTTTCACCCAGGACCATGCTTACATTTGCAACAGTATTGCTGCCTTCATTGTAACAGGTTCTCTCTCTCTCTCTCTCTCTCTCTCTCTCTCTCTCTGTCTGTCTCTCTGTCTCTCTCTCTCTCTTTCTCTCTCTCTCTCTCTCTCATTGTGCTTGGGGATGGAACCCAGGGCTTTGTGCAGGCCTGACAGGGCTCTGTCCCTGAGCCCCACCAAGCCCCACCTCCCTCTTGTAAAAAGCTCCTTTTTTGGGTGACCGTGTATCTTCCTGTCTTTGACCAATACTGCTTAGTCTGATGCTTAGCTGCCGCAGCTTGGGACTAGCATGTGAACCACTCAGAAGTTAATGGGGTTCAGGGTGAGTTTATTGAAGTGTCAAGTACACTTAACTCCTAAAGCAGGGTCTCTGGGGAACGGGGTGAAGAATACATCATCTGGCCCATCTTAAACTCCCATGAAGCACAGGTCACATGCTCCCATCCCACCTCCATTTGCATTAAACCAAGTGGGAGGTCCTTCACGTATCTTGGGATAGATACATTGTGGTTGTCATAGTTAGTGTGGATTTCCCACAGTTTTGCCTTGCCACACCAAGGACTAGTACTCTGTTCTTTCTTGCCTTTGTTCTGAGATGAGATGTTACTCTGAAGCCCTGGTTGGCCTGGGACTTGAGAGGTGAGCCGAGTTGGCCCTCCAAGTTGTGGCAATCTTCCTGCATTTTCCTCCCGAATGCTGGGATTATGAACCTGCACCATTACATCTGGCTTGTTTTCTCATTTTTTAAACAAAGTCTAAGATGAAAGTTATTTGTAGTCTAACAAGGGAGAATGAGTTTGGAAAAGGAGAGATTTGCTGTGTATTTACTCTCCCCATCCCACCCAAACAAAGTACCCCAGAGCCTGGTTGTGACTCTGTTATATTTTTGGTGATTTTTTTTTTAAATGTAACTTGTTGAAGAAGTGCTGTTTCTCACAGGTGTTCCGTCCCACAGTGCACCGCTTTAAGGTGGCCTGCTTTCCCTGTTGGTGTGCAGACAGTAAATAAATAAAAGTCGGCTCTGCGGAAGCGTTCTGACTCATAAGCAGCCCCTTTTCAAACTGATCAGGAATTCGCTTAGCACAGGGACAAGCTTTACAGCGCACCCCTGTGGCTCAGGGAGAGGCCTTGGCCATGGCTTCACCCTTATTGCTGATCAGGGTGTGAGCACCCACCACTGCAGACACAGGGTGGTGATGTCTGGTTCAGGGCGGGGCGGGGGGCGACACTATCTTTTCTCCTTTGAGAAATGGTCCTGCAGTGTCTCCATGGGCAGAAGTGTCCCAACTTTACGGAGTGACAGCTTGTTTTTGGGTGGGGTTGCATCTTTCATGAGGAAGATTCTAGAGAACGAATGCCTCTTCTTTCTGTAAGTGGACGGAGTGAGGGAGGGCTCACACCAGAGGCTGTGGCTGACGTGCGCACCCTTGGGTGTTTCTTCTCCATGGCTTCCTAATTTGCCTCCTGGTTGCTCTTGCTGTCTCTAGTTGTCCATCCAAGGAAGGGAAGCCTGCCTTGGTTTTGACAAAGGCAGAGTTGTTTTTCTTTGTAGAGCCAGTTTTATATGAAGAAAGTTAAACAAATTTGAGTTTGACAAATGAACAGAAGCTGTAAGGAGGAAGGCCCACAGCAAGCACCCACTGCGCCATCTGTGCAAAGATCATGGCTAAAGCCTTTGAGGTTTGAGATGCTGAAATGTGACCGTTTCCATGCAGTCGGTGCAGTGTGGGGGCTGAATCCAGGAGCCACCTAATCTCACGTGGTGACTTTGCTTACAAGCTTTCACCTCCAAGCTGGGATTCTGAGTGGAGTCTCCCTGCTCCTCAGTGGATACTGAGGAACTGTTGTAATTACTATAACTTCCTTTGTTCTCTAGCTACGGATCTTGAGTACAATGCAAATAAGATTTTTCTCTTAATATTAGCTTTCATAGCTCTGAAGTATTGGGCAATTTGCATACCATTAAGAGATTGAGGGGTTTGTACACTCGGTGGGTCAGCGCTAGGACTTAGGCTTTTGTCCTTCAACTGAGTCTTCTGGGACCTCGCCAGAGGCACATGTAGGTAGATTTTATGTCTTCATCTACAAAGTAAAAGTGAGGGGAAGTAGAAAGTATTTTTTAGTGAAGGTTTTGGTTTACACCTTCTCAAGCTGTAAAGGACTCACCAGTTTCTTTGGCTACAGTAATCACCATTTGGTTCAGAGAGCGAGAGAGAGAGAGCGAGAGCATTTGTTAGAAACTCACAGTGGACCTCTAAAGGTCCATCTTTACAATTATCGGGGGGGCAACTAAAATTATTTTATTTTGGAAAAAAATTAAGTCCCAAACCATAATGCTGAACAGGATTGGGGTATTTCTTTGTAGAGCTCCTGGGGGTAGGAATGAAAGCTCATTTCAGAATGCTTGCCTTTTCTTCTCTCTGGAACATCAACACCAGTACATTGCTGGCAGCTATTGTATTAAGAAAAAGTAAATAAATATATTTTCACTACCAAAGGATTCTCTTTTCTCCTTCATGGAAATAACTTGGTGTAAAGTGTTTGAGACCGCTTTTCTGATGATTTAGCACATTTACTAGGAAGGAAAATGAAGTGCTTATCAACCCACACCTGGTGCAGCGAAAACCAATGCTCTTAGCAAAATAGGGAAAATTTGAAAATAGTTGGCTTTTATGTGTGCACACACGTGTATGCTCATGTATAGGGGCGGGGCTGCAGAGAGCAGAAGAGGATATTGGATCCTATGGAGCTGGATTGGCCTGGTCTTGAACAAGAGCAATATACAGTTTTAACTGCCAAGCTGACTCTCCAGCCCCAGGACCAGTAACCCCACAAGATGTGGGACAGGACCGTGAAGAGGAAGCTGTGTCCTGTCACGGCTGCTGTGGAGTCATCTCAGCCGTGCAGCGAGACCGGAAGTTGTAGGAATGGATGGCACTGAAAGGGAGAGAGATGACTTTTGCACACGTGTGAATGCGTAATCTAAAATAACACACAGATTCCTAGTGAATTTCAACATGCGGCACCAAATACTGAAAGTCAGGCTGGGGGAGTGGCTTAGCAGTTAAGAGCGCTGGTCCAGAGGACCTGGGTTTGAACCCAGTGCCCACATGGTGTTTCATAACCAACTGTAACGCTGATACTAGATCTGTCAACCTCTTCTGGCCTCCTCGGGTACCAGACACGCATGTGATGCACAGACCTAGATATATAAAATGAATTTAAAGATTTTGAAAGTCAGTATAATTCATACACTAAGCGAAGGAAACTGGATCTTGGAGGAAAAATCAGTAGGGAAAACTTAAGCTTATGTAAAGTACCTGTTTTGAAAGAAATTATTTTACTTTGGTTTTTTTTTTTTTTTTTTGAGACAGGGTTTCTGTCTTTAATCCCAGCACTTGGGAGACAGAGGCAGGTGAATTCCTGAGTTCGAGGACAGCCAGGGCTGCACAGGGCTCAGGAAAGATTGCAAGAGAAAAGTGAGTAGCATCAGACACCTCCCAGTAGAAACCCCCAAAGCCAGGAAACACGGCATTATTTCAGGTCCTGAAGAAAAGTAACTGCCAACTGAGATTCCTATATTCACTAAAGTTCTCTTAGAATTGAGAGACCAATGAGGACATCTCAAGCACCAACTAAAACTGCTCATGACCACCAAGCCAGCACTGCGGGAAATACTTAAAGGAGCCCTAAACACAGAGTAGGAGGGAGACTGGAGAAGAATGGATTTCATATAACTGCTTGAACAAAAGCAGACTAGGAAAGGATCCAGCATGTCCAACACAGCCAGAAACCCCTTCCACAGAGAGAAGAGAAAGCAGCAACAATCCAAACGAGAATAAAAATGTGATTACAGCAACTCGCAAACCTCTCCCAATAGTCCCAAGTGCACATAAGTCTTCGTACTTCTATTGAAAGATGCAAACTAACTCAGACGGGAGATCAGATCCTCTCATCTAGCCTCAGGTGTGGTGGGGTTGGTTGTCAGACAGTGTAGAGTCATTTGGGAGGGGCTAGAGGGATTGTCTAAACCAGAATGGCCTGGGGATAAGTCTAGGGAGGATTTTCTTACTATGTCCACTGAACCAGAAATATTTTATCTTTGGTCAGGCTTATAGCTAGACATCCAAAGCTATTGAAAAACTTTCCCGATTTCTTTTTTAAGAAAAGATTCATTTCCCACCAAAACTCCAGTAATATTCTTCACAAAAATATATCTATAGATCCTGAAGTTTATATGGGAGAGCAAAATACTCAGCCAAAGTAATCACAAACAGAGCAATGATAGAGGTATCAAATCATGCTACCGAGTCATAGAAAAACATGGTACTGGCACAAACCCAAGAAATGCTACCGCTACCTAATATTTGATAAAGGTGCTAAAAACATAGATTGGAGAAAAGACAGTGGTGCGGGGAAAATTAACCACATGAAGAGCAAAACTAGATGCCCCGCTCACACCCTGTGCAGAAGTTGAGTCAAATTGGGTCAAAGCCGTATGTGAGGCATGGAACACACAGCTAGGGGAGAACATAAAATGTAAACAGTGTCCTAGTTTCATTTCCGTTGCTGTGGCAAAGCACCCTGCCCGAAAGTGTCTTTGAGGAGGAGGGGTTTATTTGGCTTACAATTCCTTGTTACAGTTAACCTTGCAGGGAAGACAAAGTCAGGGGCAGAGAGGAAGGAATGGAGGCTGTCAGGCCACCAGCTTGCCGCCCCCCCCCCCCAGCTGTCTCCTTCAGTCTTACACAGTCCAGGGCTCAGCCTAAGGAATGGTGCCACCCATGGTAGGCTGGGTCAGTTAATCAACAATCTCCCACAGACATACCCACAAGCTAACCCTGTCTAGACAATTTCTCACTGGGGCTCTTTTTCTAGATGACTCTAGGTTGTGGGAAATTGAATTTAAAACTAACCACCAGAGGCCAGGGCAGAGCAGCAAAAGCAGATGTGGGATTGCATGGTATGCAAAAGCTGCTGCCCAGCAAGAGCAGACACCAGAGTGGAGAGATGCCTACACCATGAAGGAAAATATACCAACTGTGCATCTGGCTGGGGACGAAAAAAAATGAGCCACTCCTTAGTAAGTGGGCCCATGAGCTGAATATAGTCCTAAGAGAAACCAAATGACCAATACATATTTGAAAGACCACTCAACATCCCTAACAGGGAAATGCAAATTGGAACTATATTGAGAATTCATTATATCTTAGCCAGAATGGCTATTACCAAGAAAGCAAATGCCTCACAGGGCTGGAAAAACTGCTGAGCAGTTAAGGGCACTCACTCCTCTTGCAAACGACCTGTGTTTGCTTCCTGGTCTCCAGATTGGGTGGCTCACACCGCCTGGGACTCTAATTCCAGAGTTCTGGTCTCTCTGGCCTCTGAGGCACCTGCACTTGTGTACACACAGACACATTGTATAATAAAAAAAGGGGGAAAAAAAAAAGAAAAAACGTGACCAGTGCGAGCAAGGCTGTGAGGAAGGACAGCCCTTCTTAAGGAGGGAATGCAAGCTGGTGCAGCTACTAGGCGAATCAAAATGGAGGTTCCTCAAGAATTGTAAAATCGAACTACATCCCCCAGCTATACCACTCCTGGGTATTTACCTAAAAGCCTCCAAGCCAGTGTATCCCAGAGGTGCTTCCACACTTGTGTGTTTGGAGCACTGTTCCTAACACTAAGCTTCAACCCAGCCCAGATGTCCCAGCAAGAGAGGAATGCACTAAGAACAGGCGGTTTCTACACAATGGGAGGGTTTTCAGCCATAAAGAATGAAGCTGTTGCCTGCCTTGGGGCAGCCTGCTCCAGTCTCTCTCTGAAGTGTTTATATTGCTTAGCCTTGTTAAGTAAACTTCCACTGAAACTGGAAAGAGGAGGAGGAGGAAGAGAATAAGTTGTGTCCTCTCCAGGAAAATGGATACAACTGTGACCAATCCTCCCGTGTGCGCCTTAACTCAGATTCTCAGAACTAAACCGCCTGATTTTTCTCACTTGTGAGTCTTAGATCTTACACAGATACATACAGTCATATGTGTACCGATGACATGGAAGTAGAAGTGAAACTCCAGGGGAACCAAAAGGACTCGTGTGAGGGGGAGGGGGATGGGATGGGGTGTGTATGTGTGTGCTCAGAGTCCATTATAGATGTCTTTGAAGATGGCCTTAGGTGACTGGGTTTACTAAAGTGAACCAAGGGAGGGAGGGCTCCAGAGAGAGAGAGCTGGGGACAGGAGAGCGGGCAGGAGAAGGAAAGAATTTGGCTATGAAGGCAGAAGGGGGCTGTTTGGTGGGAGGGGCGGCATCCATTCACAGTGTCTTTAAGCTTCTATCGCGGTACTGTCTGTGTGGTACCCAACCGAGACGGCTCCCATGTCCATCTAACCAGCAGGCTGGCATGTAGATCTGTGTGCAGTGAGTAATATATGCAGGGATGAACCAGGAAGATGGCTCTGCGTTACAAGCCAGACACCGAAAGGTCACATACTGTAGGGTGATGCTTATTCCAAGTGTCCTTGGTACTGGGGAGGTGGAGACCGGGAGGCGGTTCCCAGGAGTTTGCTGGCCAGCCAGTCTAGTTAACACATCAAGCTGTAGGTTGATTGTGGGAGCAATCTGGCCTCTACGTGTGTACACGCTTACACATAAACACAAGTGCATACATGTACCAGAGGTGGGGGTGGGGGGAGAAAGAAGAGAGAGAAACATACTCAAATTAAAGCAAAGAAAGGGTAAGGTACAAAGCAATTTAAAACCAAGAAAGCGAGACCCACATGAGAGGCATGGACCACAGCCTGTGTGTACTGAAACCCTGGAAGGGGAGGGGAAGGGAGGGAGGGGGAAGAAAGGGCGGGGAGAGAAGGGCGGGGAAGGGCAATGGGGCAGGAGCTGCATTTGCTGAAGAATGACTGAGAATCTTCTGAAAGTTAATTAAAAGAGTCATACATCCATGTCTGTAAAGTCCATGCGAAATAAAAACAACATACCTAAGCACATCATGGTGAAACTGCCGGCCATTTAAAACAGCCAGACAAATGGCACAGTGGGGGTACCACAGGGGGACCAGGGTGGCTTTGCTGCTGGGGGATGTCTGCCAAAAAAAAGTTCCCTACTCAGTGAAGAAGCCTCCCCAAGAGGACGAAGAGACAGAATGGGCTCTAACCCAGCCTAAGGAGGAATGCTGGTTGCTAGTGCGGTTGCTCAGCAAGCATGAAGCCCTGGGTTCAGTCCCTAGTACCGTGCTCTGAGGTGGTGAAGACAGAGGATATGAAACACAAGGTCATCCTTGGCTGGATAGTAAGTTCAAAGCCAGCCTGGGACATATACTATCCTGTCTCAAAAAAAATATTTTTTTCAAAGAAAAGAGGTGTGTGTGTGTGGTGGGGGTGGATTTAAGCAGCAACCAAATAAGCCTAATTAATGTATGCAGAGTTCTGCATTCAGTAACTTCAGGGTGCAGGTTCAAGTGCACGTGGAAATTCTAGCAAAAGAGAGCAT